CTGTTAAGGTTGTCGCGGAACTGTATCAGGGCGCCGTTTATATTTCGCCTGCTGTACTTTTCCCAACATTTTTTATTACAGAATAGAGTAGTTGTTCCTACTCTAGCAGAAAGATTTTGGTTCTAAGCACCGGTGCTGACATCGTTGATAGAAACAGACGTTTAGTTTGTTAGCACAAGCATGCCTCTGATTCGTTAATGATAGATGTTGATCTCCTGGATCTCGTCGGCCTGTTTCGATTTCCACGCAAGTAGCTGGCGAACTGATGTAAAGAGTTTTTGCGGAGCCCCATTACACGATAAACATTGTTTCTTATCCTCTGCATCACCAAGGACACATGTCCCTGGCTAAGAATGGAGTCATTTTTTCTTGTTCGTATTGTTTGAGCTTCATTAAACGTTGAAGTTTGCGTAGTTGTGCGCCATTGAACCGTCAGGTTTTGTCTTCGATAAAGTTGCAGATGAGTTTTTGTGTAATGAAGTGATCCTTTTCCCAGCTCAACATGTTGAAAATACTACCGAAACACCGGAATGAAAGCTGCTCTTAAGATTTAACTCTTTCTGAATGGTGCTATCGATGGAAATAATGAAATCGATGTAATTACATTGGTCCATTTCTCGTTTCACCTCCATGGCGGAAGCACTTTCGATCTGTGATGCCCCATAGGGTCCTCGTTATTTGACATGTAAGTCTTTAGGGAAAAACTGACTTTTGTGGATGTACTGAAGAGCTAACTTGTTGAGTGGTGGCACCCGCTTTCCACACTGATTATCATGGTAGTTTCGTGAAAATGTCCGCAATATGTCTAATCAGTTTTCCCTAACTGTCTCTCTTCCGAGAACAATAAGTGCCTTGCGTTAAGAGCATAAACTGACATTATTTATGAACGATAAAGAGATCCTCACCATTCATTGTGCAATCGCGATTGTATTTCACTACCGAGTGAATGCAGTAGATTGCCGTTTTGGCTAAGTATCAAGTTTGTTTGTGGTCGAGCAGCAACTGGATGATGCTGTTCATACCGATTGACTTAGTAATATACTTTCAAACTTTGATGACCAAGAGATAGATCTAGCGAACAAAATAATGCTATATACATTTCGCACTGTACATGTTCAAATGCTAGGCAACAATGATCTGAAATAGCCGTGAAATATTGTCTTGTATTAGATATGCACCATATTTCAAAGCTATGATATTTGTTCAAATACGTCATTTTTTTTGCTAGGTCAGTCTCCTGTTGTAGTTTGAGTTTTAAAATGGAATCGCAGAAGCTCAGTTAGCAATTTATTTAGCTGACTGAACTACCTTTTCTTTTAGATTTATATTCTGGTAAATTTTATGTGGAATAAATTGGCACTAGCGTAAATTATGTGTTAATGTTTAAAATTTAGAGAACAAGAGCTCGATGCAATCAAGAAAATGAACTCTGACCTGACCTTGAAATTTAAGCAGTTGGATAGCAAGCTGCATCTTATGGAAAACGAAGTTACGGTTCTCACAAATGAGCTCTGTGAATCACGGGGTGAGCGGGATAAGTTTCGAAAGCAGCACGAATCGGCACAATTGGAAATTGAAAAGTATATTGAAATTAAGACATTTTTACGTTGATTAATTGTATCAGTTATTCGCATTTCGTTATAGGTTAAAATTTGCGCAGATTGACGTGTTTAACGAAAAGGAAGACTACCGTTCCAAGTTTGACGAGTTGAAAGAATTCAACGCCACACTTCAAGCAGTACGATGATTATTTACCACTATATATAACAGTACTATATCTACTGCTATAGCGAGTTATAACGGCATATGCGTAAAGAATGTTTCCGTTCTTTTCCAAGCTCATGTGGTTTAAATGAACGTAGGTATTGAGTAAGGGAGGTTACGCCAGTTTGAAAAATTTGTTGAG